ATATATATATATATATATATATATATATATATATATATATATATATATATATATATATATATATATATATATATATATATATATATATATATATATATATATATATATATATATATATATATATATATATATATATATATATATATATATATATATATATATATATATATATATATATATATATATATATATATATATATATATATATATATATATATATATATATATATATATATATATATATATATATATATATATATATATATATATATATATATATATATATATATATATATATATATATATATATATATATATATATATATATATATATATATATATATATATATATATATATATATATATATATATATATATATATATATATATATATATATATATATATATATATATATATATATATATATATATATATATATATATATATATATATATATATATATATATATATATATATATATATATATATATATATATATATATATATATATATATATATATATATATATATATATATATATATATATATATATATATATATATATATATATATATATATATATATATATATATATATATATATATATATATATATATATATATATATATATATATATATATATATATATATATATATATATATATATATATATATATATATATATATATATATATATATATATATATATATATATATATATATATATATATATATATATATATATATATATATATATATATATATATATATATATATATATATATATATATATATATATATATATATATATATATATATATATATATATATATATATATATATATATATATATATATATATATATATATATATATATATATATATATATATATATATATATATATATATATATATATATATATATATATATATATATATATATATATATATATATATATATATATATATATATATATATATATATATATATATATATATATATATATATATATATATATATATATATATATATATATATATATATATATATATATATATATATATATATATATATATATATATATATATATATATATATATATATATATATATATATATATATATATATATATATATATATATATATATATATATATATATATATATATATATATATATATATATATATATATATATATATATATATATATATATATATATATATATATATATATATATATATATATATCCCTTCTGATATGAAAATTCGCAGTCATTTTTTCACTCTATACACAGTCTCTTGGCACCATCATTGAAATGTTTCTATCTTTTTTTTTCTTTTAAATGCGTAACTTGTACACTTTGGATCAGGTTTTTCTTATGTTCGCAAACTACAGATAGTCCAGTGGAGGCGAATAAAAACACGATCAACTGTTCTCTTACTTAAACACACGTTCTCCTTTTCATTCAATGTCACTCTCTCTCTCTCTCTCTCTCTCTCTCTCTCTCTCTCTCTCTCTCTCTCTCTCTCTCTCTCTCTCTCTCTCTCTCTCTCTCTCTCTCTCTGTCTCTCTCTCTCTCTCTCTCACACACACACACACTCATAAACAAACAAACAAACAAACAAACACACACACTTCTTTCTCTCTCTTCCTCTGCCTCCCTTACCCCTTCACTTATTAGTACAATCATACAGTCGGCCCAAACGAGGTGTCACTTGAAACCAATCACTCAGTGGTGAACATGCAAGAGACCCTTAATAAAGAATCAAACTAAATTCAACAACAGAAGGAAAATCAGTGGAGAAGACACGTCGGTTATAACTTACTCCAGTGAAGTCCATTGAACATTGGAAGCATCCGTGTTGTATTGAATGCCAATTAAGTTCTGTTATGAAGGGAATCCAGTGAGATGGATAATCACCCTGGTTGCTAGGTGCCATATGACGACGCTTCCATGTTGTCGGTGCCACTTGCACTTCGTGGTGGCACTTTGGCACTGCTCTTGGAAAATGCTCATTACTCAAGCTTCTGACCAATGTCTCCCTATCCCCACCTCCCCCCCCCTTTCCTCCTCATTTTTGCAATTTTGTTTTGCAATATTCTCTCAATATTTACATTATTTGTGGACTACCTTCTGTTTTCATTAATTTTGACATTGTATTCATAAGTTCCGCCATTGCTAATAGTCTCTATAACAATATTCATATTTTCTATCTCTGATATCAATGTTGTACGTGTACATAATGCAAATATATTTGTTTACGAATATTGTTGTGATTGTAAATAATATGTCGTACATGATCCATTGTTTCAATACCCTTCACACTTGCTTTGGGGCTACCTGAATTAAATATATTCTTAAGATATGAAGTTAATTCAGAATACAAGGATACATACCTACAGGCAGACAAGCATATATATTTATATATATATATATATATATATATATATATATATATATATATATATATATATATATATATATATATATATGTAT